GTAAGTATCTTTTTCAGATCCCAGCTCTAGCAAAACTTCCATCCAGCCTCAGAGTAAGGAGGAGGCTATACTTCTCCGTGTTAGAAAGATCATTTTCAAAAGAAAAAGAAAAAAAGTGGGCGTCTTTCACTTCATTAATTACTTTCATCCTATAGTCAGAAGACCAGGAAGTAGGCCTGAAAGCTTTCATTTTGGGGAGCAGTCCAAAAAAAAAAACACCTGGATCTTGAGATGTTACACATGTTTTTTTTCTTTCTTCAAGCGAGCAAAGTCGACCTTAGCACAGGTTCTCAAAATCATTAAATGCAAAACAGTAACCATAACACATTAATCATATGTGATTGTGCCGGAAAAACAACTGAAATATTTTTGTCCCCCTGCCTTTGATGCATTTTACAGAGCATGGATATCAGGGAGAAGGCTACAGCACAGTGACAGAATGCCTACTTTGAATGCAAAAGGTTGCGGGTCCAATCCATGACAGGTAAGGCTGGAAAAGCTTCTTGTCTGACAACCAGTGCTAGTCAGTGACAGATTGAGCTAAATTAAGCATGAAATGGAATTCACATTAAGAGAGGCTAAGTGAAGGAAGAGTTGCTGATTCTAGAATAATGGAGTACGAATTAAATTTAAAAAAGTGTAGTTGGAACCACCTGCTGAAGGAGAGGCGACCATAGCTGGGGGGCAGGATTAAAAGACATTTCAGGTTACAGTCCATAGGAGCAAGAAAACTTTTTAGGTCAAATCCTTAGGTCTATATCTGGGAAGAGGGAAGAGGCAGACAGCCTGGCAAGCTAAATTGATCATCAACAATAAACAAACCTGTATGACCCATTCTTGGAGGTGTTCCGGTTGTTTGAGTCTGACAAAAACTAAGATACACTTTGTGTATCTAAAGTGTTTGAACAACTGTTGGACCTTAGTTCCAGAAATGAAATAACTGAACATTATTCTAAAAACTATTCTCTCACATACACATTAAAAGGCTGTGATTACAAAATACAGATTTTGAAATCAGACAGGAGGGACCTCAATACTAAACTACTTCTTGAGAAGCAGAAAGAGGTTTTTTTTTTTTTAGAGCAGCATGGCTGCTAAAATCATCTGATGAGAATTTCAAACTTAATTTTTTTTTAACTTGATTTATATGCTACCCTTCTCCAGAGACTCAGGGCGGCTTACAAAGCGTTAAGCAATTTGTTAAAACTTTACTGATGTAGTCAATATTCTTTCTTCAACCTCTAAGCTTTACACCATATATTAGCAATGAAATACAGCCTGGCCCCTTTAATAACCCAGAGAAACATCCCGACAGTTTTATTTAAAAAGAATGAAATTATCAACAAATTGGGTCAGATGACAAAATTGCTTTTTCCAATTCTGCCCAGAACAAATACAGAAAATTCATCTAATTCAAAATGCTATTGTGAAAAATATTTTTACTAGACTTTGGAAGATGCAGTTGCTTGCACGTAAGTTTTTTTTTAATGTTCTAATTAACTATTTCTATCAAACCCTTCAGTGAGCTGGCTTCTGTCTACATCAGTGATTTATGACTGGTTTTCTTAGTGCTACTTAACACAGAAATGGATTTACACTACTAAAGTGGTAAGAAAAAGCAAAAAGGTAGAAAAGATTCAAGACAAATTTATACCCCTAGAAAACCAGAGTAGAATTATATGATATAACTTAACCATGAGTTTTGCATGAAGGCGACCATAAATCCTGATTTGACTGGAAAACAGCTCAAATTTCCATATGTTTATTTAGGAATTTAAGGCCAAGTACTTAGGATGGCACCCCTTTCCTCAATATTCAACTCAGATTGAACCACCATGCAGAAATTAGCTATTATTAGTACTGTAAGAAGACAGCACATGATAAAGGATCATTTTCTTCAGCTGAGTCTGTGGGGTAAAATAGGCTTCTAATTTCTTCCGAGGGGGGCGGAGAGAGGCTAATCCCCATTGGTAAAACGGTCTATATAGCGCATTAGTAAACTACATAGCCTAATAAATCCTTCATTATAGAATCTTCTCAGCTCTGTTAAACCCCTGTTAAATTCCAAATCTTATTCGGGTCAAAGCCGAATCGTACGCCGGAAAGTTCAAGGAAAAATCGCGTGTGTAACTTTCACGAGCGTTTGCGCGTTTGCGAAATGGGGATCTCTGGAGAGGGGGGGGGTCCCCGTTCCACATCTGCCCCCCGCCTCTCCCGACAAGGCACGAGCGAGCTCCCCTCCCCTCAAAGAAGTTGCTCGGAAAATCGTGAGGCACCTAACCGAAGCCGAGAGTTTGCTGTCCTCCGAAGAAAAAATACTGACCCCCGCCCCAATGGGTCTTCTCGCCCCTCTCCTGACTTCCAAGCAGCCCACCGCTCACCGCGCCCCGAGCAGCTACTCCGAGTTTGCCCGGAGCACTTTGCTAAGTGGCGGGGAGGGTCGCGCTTCCTTTCCCGGAGGTACACAGGGAGCAGCTTGGGAAGGGCCCTTCCGACCTGCTCTCCCCTTCCCTTCCCCATCCCACCAACCTGACATATAAAGGACCGGGGGCTGCATAGGAAGCCAAACGCTCCCCCCCCCCAGAACACGGCAACCCGTCCGGGGTTCGAGGCCGGGACGGCACACTCACCATCTTCCTTCTCGTCGAACACGGGTCTTTTGGAAGACGAGGAAGAGGTGCTGGCTCCCATCCTCTTCTTCCACTTGCTCCAGTGAAACATTGGCGGAGGAGGCGAATTGGCATCCCCTAAAAAAGTCCACAAGAGAACAAGGCGAGCCGGGCTCGGCGACCACGGCAGCGGCAAGCGGGAGAGCCGGAACCCCTTCAAGATGGATCTCGCGGGTTACGCGTGTTGGCGCGCCGGTGTGTAAACGTGTCTTGAGTATCTCTTTCGGGCTCTACTCGCCCGCTTTTGTCTCCACCGCTCGCTCTTGCTCTCTTCTCTCTCTCTCTCTCTGTCTCTGCACGGCGCTGGAAAAGGCGGTGACGGCTGGAGCTGCAGTTGCCAAAGACTTGCTTTGCTCTTTTGGGGACCCCCTTCTTCTCCCCTATTCCTATTCCCGCCTCTGGAAAGGGGGGGGGGCGGCGTGCGAGAACCTCCTCCAAGGAGCCCCACGGCAAGCGAGCAAGAAAAACCCAAAGCACGCTAAGCTTTCTTCCCTTATCCTCCTTTCTTCTTTCTCCCTTTCTCCTCTCTTCCAAACCCACCCAAGCTTTAAGTCTCCACGCTAGACGGAGGCGGGCGCCGCTGGAGAAACCCGGCGTTTCCCTAAAGCGAGCTGGAAAAGCCAGGATTTGTAGGGAAGGGAAGGGAGGGGGGGGCGTTTCACGCTCGTAGACTCCCGAGCCGGCTGCCTTAAAGCGAACGCGACTCGTAGCGCCTCCGTCCGTGGCTAGATGGCGCTCGAGGCGCGCGAACGCGGGCTTTTTACCTTTAACCTTCTGAGATCATCGAGATGCTGCTTGTTGGGGAAGGGGAGGAGATGCTCTGTTCTGCGGAAAGGGGCTTCCGACCGCTTTTCGGGTTGGGTTGGTTCCAGAGCGGACGCTTAGCACGACAAATCATGTGTCTGATTTGATATAATGCAGTGTTTCTCAACCTTGGAAGCTTGAAGCTGGCTGGGAGATTCTGGGAGTTGAAGTCCACCCATCTTCAAGCTTGAGAAACACTGATATAATGTGTATGATATGATGCAGCAGCGAAATGAAAGGGAGTTCTTTCATCTATTATTAATGATTCTTTGTTCTCCTTTAAGGGATAGCGTGGCTGTTGGTGACCCACGCTGTATTTGGAGTCCTATTTATTTTGTGGACTACTTTAAAACCTTTAAAAGAGCCTTGATAGTACAGTGGTTTAGTGCACCCTGTTATTAACACAGCTGCCTGCAATTACTGCAGGTTCGAATCTCTCCAAGGCTCAAGGTTGACTCAGCCTTCCATCCTTTCTAAGGTAGGTGAAATGAGGACCCAGTTTGTGGGGACAATAAGCTGACTTTGTATAAAATATACAAAAGAATGAAGGCTATTGCTTAACGCATTGTAAGCCGCCCTGAGTCTCCGGAGAAGGGCGGCATATAAATCAAATTTAAAAAAAAAAAAACCAAAAAAAAAAAACCAAGGATCTTAGACACCTCGGGAAACGATTTGCCTCTGAATATCAGGTCTGCTGGAGAACATAAGGATGATGCTGCAAAGGCATTTTTGTCTCAACTTTCCATTGTATTTGGCTGGTCGTTGTAAAAAGAGACCATTGGATGAGAGGGGACTTTTGATCTGATCCGGTGTGTGATTTATAAAGTGACTGATGTCAAAGTAAGTTATTGTTCTTGCCGTTATTAAAAAAGAAAGTGTATTTTCCATGATACGGCTACTGTTAATAATTTGGAAAGGAGGGGGGAAAAATCATGGCTTGAATTTCTTTTGATGCCTTCCGTTTTATTGTACAGGGAGTCCTCGAGTTACAACAGTTCCCTTAGTGACCATTTGAAGTGACAATCGCACTGAAAAAAGTGACATGACCGTTTTTCACACAATCGTTGCAACATCCCCAAGGTCATGATCAAAATTCGGATGCTTGGCAATTGGTTCAGATTTATGACAGTTGCAATGTCCTGGGGTCATGTGATCACCTTTTGCAACCTTCTGACAAGCAAAGACCATGGGGAAGCTAGATTCACTTAACAGCCATGTAATTAATTTAACAATTTTAGTGATTCACTTAACAAATGTGGCAAGAAAAGTTATAAAATGGGGCAAAACTCACTTAACAAATTTCTCATTTAGCAATATAAATTTCAGGCTCAATTGTGGTCTTAAGTTGAGGGCTACCAGTATTTTAGCTTTGCCTTCAACTCAGTCTTCACTTCTTGTAATTGCCTGCCTGTTTTCTTGGCAAATTTTTCAGAAATAGCTTGTGCTTGCCTTTTTCCTAGGGCTGAGAGAGAAGGACTGGTTCAAAGTCCCCCAGCTGGCTTCCTGCCTAAGGAAGAACTTGGACTTACAGTCTGGTCAAGCTTCTGGTTAAGAGTCTTTAAGCACTACCAGAAATGGGCTTTTCCAATCAACTGAAAATGCTACACTTTCCAAACAGCTACTGGGAGCAACAGTGAGTGACAGGTAACCTGACCAGGCATGTTATCCCGAGTAATTGCTCTCCAAATACAGTATGGTGGTCTTGATAGCATGGGCAGCCACAAAGCCCTTTATGCTAGCTACCTATGCCTTTCATTAGCTCTTTATAAAAATATCCATCTATTTGAGCAGCATCTCTGCCTAATCTTACAGCTGCTTTAATTTCCATCCCAGAATATGGTATCAAACAGGAACACCATAGATCAGGGGTGTCAAACTCAAAGCCTGCAGGCCGGGTCCAGCCCACAGGGTACTTAGATCTAGCCCGCGGAGCCACCCTGGAAACAGCAAAGGACCAGCTCATGATACCTCTGCCAGTAAAAAAAGGAGCTTGGGATTGGCGTGTCCCAAGCTCTGTTTTCACTGGCAAAGCACTCGGGCCACCACAGGTGTCCCCGATACAAGTGACATTGAGCTGCCACACCCACCCAGCCTCCCAAAGTCAAACACAACCCTGATGTTGCCCTCAATGAAATCGAGTATGACACCCCACCATAGAGATATTAAAATGACAAGCCACTGTCACTCGCTTCAGCTCAGAATATAGCTCTAGCTCCCAAGTAAGCTTTCTAGAACAGCTTCCCTCATCTGGGACCACTCTAAATTTATTGGGACTACAACTTCCAGAATCCCTAGTCAGCATGGAATTCTGCTTAGGTATTCTGAAAGTTGCAGTCGCAAGCAATTCAAAGAGCATTAGATTAAGACAATGAAGAAGTATATCAGAAAACATTTTGTTCAAACTTTGAGTTTGTCCTTAACAAAAAAATTGTATTATGGGTAGCCCTCATTTACTGACTGCTCATTCAGCAATCTTTGAAAGTTATGACAGTGCTGAAAACTGAGACTTATAACTGATCCCCAATTCCTAGCCACAATGCATCTAATAATATTAGAGTACTCCAAAATTTATTTAGTCAAGTTCTATAATTTGTTTTAAGTATTGAAGAGTTTTGAAGTCTGTATATGACAACATGTTTCAAAGTTTAGAATGAAAAAAGTGCTGTATCACATATGACTTTCTAAAACTGGTGAAATTATGAATCAATTTCATATTGATACAATTTCATATTTTAAGAATATAAAAAATGCTAAATAAAGATGTATAGTAGATGAAGAAAGCCAGGGCATGTATTAAACTGAAGATCTTTTCTTATAAAAATTTCCTTTAGAATTTTCCCCCAAAACAGCATGCAATTTAACAATCAATTAGAGAAAAGGAAGAAATTGACTTTGATTTTAATTAGCAGAGCTAATTAGAAATTACACAATCTTTTGGAAAATATAAATATCCAAATAATTGCAAGAATAATTTGAAATTCAGGTAACATTGAATTGTTAGATTTAAAAAAAATAAAAATTGACTTTTTCTACAAAAAGATAAATGATCGTCATTTCAAATGAACAAATTATTCTGCAGTTATAGGGTAAGAAATCAACATTTTAAGCCTTGCGAGATAAGCCAAGTGGTAATATGTAGCTAAGGAAAAGTCTCACAAATGTCCTTTTATGCAACATAGTGCTATCCAAGAAGTATGCTTTTTGTGCTAAAAAATCATTTTAATTATAGACTCTGCTAGTCTCAAAATAAATACTCAGATATTGTATACAATAATACATATATCAATGACAATTACAAAATATTGGGCAATGTTCTACAGATCATTTTACAGATTAAGAATAAAGAATATTGCAGAGCTGTGGTTGAAAATGCTAATTTTCTAGTGACAGATTAAATAAAAATTGATCCATATATCTCTGTCACCAGGCTAATCCTAAATAAATTTACTGAGAAGCAATTCTCCAGACTTTAAAAGTGCAAGAGACTAGCTTTGAAACATTTATTAAGTTAAATCAACTCTTGAACAATTAGCACTTAAACAAAAGTATGGAATTATTAATACAATAAATTCTACAGGGATAGCTATATTTTTCTTCGTTGCAGCGATACACCCCAAATCTATTTGGCCTCCTAAAGTAGCAGCAAATTTATTACTGTGCAAGCATTAATTAGTTTCATTTCATTTCATTTCAGATGCTTGCCCTGCTGCCCTTAGTTAGATATTTATATATTTATATAAGAATATTATGAAACCCAAAGGTCATGAAATGCAAGAGGCAACAATGGGTCAAGATTTAAAAAGAGCTTCTGACTAGAAAAACAGTAATTAAAGATAATGCTATGTGTCTTATAATCCTCAAACTAAATTAACATTCACTGTATGAAAGGAAGACAAAATTCAGAAATAGATTGGTTTATACAATACTTAGACTCATAATACCATTTCTACAAAATAACTACAAAAAAAAGCTTTTATTATAAAGACATATTAGTGTTCCTTCAGTTCAAGCATACAAAGATTATACTGCTAAAAGCCTCAAATTTCTATTGAATATAAAAATAGCAGTTCATGAATGTATAATAATACGGTTGATAGATTTAGGCAGTGGTGAAATCCAAATTTGTTTACTACCGGTTCTGTGGGCGTGGCTTAGTGGGCATGGTGTGGCTTGGTGGGCGTGGCAGGGGAAGGATACTGCAAAATCTCCATTCCCACCCCACTCCAGGGGAAGGATACTGCAAAATCTCCATTCCTGCCCCACTCTGGGACCAGCCAGAGGTGGTATTTGCCGGTTCTCCGAACTACTCAAAATTTCCGCTACCGGTTCTCCAAACTGCTCAAAATTTCCGCTACCGGTTCTCCAGAACCTGTCAGAACCTGCTGGATTTCACCCCTGGATTTAGGTTTATCAAGAAATGCATTTCTTGAGTGGGCAGAAGTTGTAAAGTTGTCAGATATTTTGTTCCTATTAAAGTTAGCAAAGTTACGTTATGCATCCTTGGTTTCATTGTGAAGAGAGACAGCTGGCAATCCTCTAGTGTTTACAAATGAATTCTGGTTTGCAGAGGGAATCTAGCGGATTTAAGATATGATGACTATTCATTTTGTGACCACAGAGCCCCACATTACAATTTGCTGGAGGGAATGAAATTTTATCTTGGCAGAATGAGTTGCTTTAATTGGTAGCTCCCTTGCAAGATGCCAAGAGCATACCTATTTTTGTTCCTGAGGAGCTGCCGTATAAGATTTTTAAAAGTTTGACATTTGAGAGAGTGAATAAAAACTGTCGGTTAGAGAAGATTGACAAAAAGTAGGCAGTTCAATATTTTCCATAACATTTACTCAGTGACAGCTTTGAGTCAATCAATCAGGGAGGGAGGAAAGGGAGATCTTGGAGATCTAGATCTCCTAGTCCAACTGCTTGCTCAAGCAGGAGACCCCATACTATTTCAGACAAAGGACTGTCTAGTCTCTTCTTAAAAACGCCCAATGATGAAGAGTCCAGAGTATGAAGAATAGGGCCTTTTATTCAGTAGTGAAATGTAAAATTTGTTACTACTGGTTTTGTGGGCATGGCTTGGTGGGGGGTGTAATATGATTGAGTGGGCGTGGCCAACTTTTTTTTTACTTTTAAAACCATTTTTTCTATAACCTCTTCTGCTGAAGAGGTTGTAAAAAAAATGCTTTTAAAGCCTCTGACGATCCCAGCTGACTTGCCTGATCGGCAGAGGCTTTTTTTCCTTTTAAAACCATTTTTTCTACACCTCTTCTGCTGAAGACGTTGTAAAAAAAATGCTTTTAAAAGCCTCTGATGATCCCAGCTGAGCCACATGATCATCAGAGGCTTTTTTTTTTAACTTTTAAAAGCATTTTTTCGGCCAAAGAGGTTGTAGAAAAAATGCTTTTAAAAATAAAAAAAAGCCTCTAATGATTGCGCAGCTCAGCTGGGCAAGGGGGGTGGCAGGGACTTTCGCTACCGGTTCTCCGAACAACCTGCCTCCATCGGTACTGGATCGGGCGATCCGGTCCGAACCGGGAGCATTTCACCCCTGCTTTTATTGCTTTCTAGCCCAGGGTAGCTAGGAAAAGCAGAGTTAAAAGTCTCTAAATCAGTCCTACCATAATTATAGTAATAGTTATTATAATCATGATTTCACTGGGCTTCATCCTGATTCGGTGTGCCACTCCATCTATACCAACTGGTTTATATATATATATATAAAAAACCATGGGAATAAGATCTGCGTTGACATTTTCTTCTTTTCTATAATATATATTTGAAGCCTTATTGATAAAGAATGAAAAAAGGATTATAACTATAATAATAAAGAAATTGTGATAAAAGTAGAGATATGTGAGTCAAGGTGAACTCTGGTGCCCTCATGAACACAATTACATAACAGAGGTGTTGTCACATTGAGTTCTCTTTTCCTCTTTCCCCTCCCCTTCTTCCTCCTGTTCCCTCTCCCACTCCGTGCCCTGATGTTCCCCAATGGTTTATCTCCAAATATCAGCAAGACCCGAATCTAATGGGTCTCCAAACCTGAATTAGATCGGTTCTACCCTCCAACACTATATTGTCACTTGCTGAGGAAGTGACAGTAATAAACTATCAATTGTATAAAAGGTCCTCTTTTTACCCTTGGCAATCTATTGTAGAGCAGACTGATTATTTCTAATTTTGACTTTGCGTGACTGCATTCAAAGATGGGTGGGTAATTTATGCTTTCAAAGTAAATAACAATATTTAGCATACCCTCTGCATTTAGTTACAGTTAGCTATTTGCATTTTGCCATTTAATAGGATGGAGATGCATATGATGGCCTATTTCAATAATGTCTCAGTGTAACATTCAGACAATTTCAATATTCTTTTTGGCAGAGAATGCTGAAAATCTATTTTCTCTGGTATACTGAATGACTCTTCAAATTATGCCTCTTCACTAAAAAGCTCATATTTTCCATGAATGTTCATCTTAAATTTAGTGATATATTTAATTCAGTGGTATCAATGTGACATTTGAAAAGAACATCTACAGTTAGATTAATGATAAGTTAGTGAAACTGAATAGATTCAAAATCATGGAAAATCTGGGATCAGCTCATACTTCACTTTCAAGGTACCCAGAGAAGACAGGTTTG